AATATAGTTAACAGAATATTGAAAGATTCAGTAGAATGTCATATCACTTTTTTTGATTCGTACTTTTATTCGTTTTAGTGTTTGACGCAGAAAATAGGCCAACTTTTCCTTTGTCTATTAATAAAGCCTTTTTTTATGTTATTCGCCTTCTGATTGATCATTGGTCAGTTAAGCATCTGCATAAAGGTTATAGTGATATCTTGCCAAATATCATGAACACCTAACGATCGATTGTCGTGTGAACTCTTTACTCGCAATTTTGACAACTATTTTTAATTTGTTCTCCCGTTCTACCTCATCTTTCTCTTTCTCTCTTGTATATATATATATATATATATATATATATATATATATATATATATATGAATTGTGATCAAATGATGGGATAAGAAACAAATTAAAAAAACTTATAAATTTGACGTTTCGGTTTTATTTAATAAAACGTTTTTAATTTATAAACGTTTCCTATTTGTTTGGTATATCCTATCATTCACACACACACACAGAGACACGCATAAACACACACACACATATATATATCTGACGATTGCGTCTAGTATGAAACAGCCTGTCACCTCTGAGTGTTGACTTCAATGTTCATTTATATATATATATATATATATATATATATATATATATATACGCTCTATCTCTGATATTGAGTACTTTATCCCATAAATATAACACACCTTAAAAATATATATATATATATATATATATATATATATATATATACCGAACTCTTCATTGCCAATTCAAGAAAGAAATTCGGATTACCAACACACAAACAGAGAATGTCTCATATCGAGAATATTTAACATTGAACATAAGGAAAAATTAATTATTTTTTAATAATATGTAAAAATCTCCACTTTTACCTGAAGACGGTCGCGAGACCAGAAACACGTGTCGTAAAATTATGTAAAACAAAGCATAATATTTTTCTAAATAAATCCACATTACAACCAAAAACGTTTGCGACACCTCTCTTCTCTTCTTTTTTAATATACATACTTTTCTCTCGTTGGAACCACTACAACATATTTCTTTTATATATATATATATATATATATATATATATATATATATATATATATATATATATATATATATATGGTTGTTTTAATTTATAATAAGCATTTTCGTGAGATTATAAATGCAAATTACCTAAAATTTAATAAAATATTAGATTATTTAGAAAATTTTCATAAATTTTTAAGACTAAAGACTTGGTAAAAATTTACATAAAATGGTGTTAAATATGTTAACACCTCATAAAAATCCACAATTTTTTTCCGATATTTTATATTGAAAATAATATGTATTTTAATTCAGATTAAATAAAGTTTAAACGAACTAATCTTCATGAAAGTTTCAGAAAATCATATTTTATTTTTGAAAGATCTTTTAATAAAGATAATTATATTGTCTTTACGGATTCAAATTAATTTAAACTTTGTCTGTAATCAACCAAAGTATTTTGCTTATTGGAAATATTAAATTGAATCTATTAGATTGGTAATAAAAGTAAAATAAAACTTAAAGAAAATTTTAAAATGCATTTTAAACCTCAGGTATAAAAATTTTGAGGATCTATCTATCTATCTATCTATCTATCTATCTATCTATCTATCTATCTGTCAATCTGTCTATCTGTCTATCTATCTGTCTATCTCTCCACGCACACACACACACAGCAAGCAATCTAAACATTGGACGGATAAATAGCTTTAATTATCTTCCCAGACCAAAACAAACTATTCAATAAGTGACCTAAGCAAATCTCCTCCCAAATTTTTACTGCGTTAATAAAACGTCAAAAAACAAAAAGAATAAATAATACAAAATGAAAATGAAAAACTGGTAAAATAAATTAACCAAAACAAATAAATAAATAAATGAACAAACAAGCCATTCCCGTAAAAATAACCGCCAGAATAGATTACCCACAATGCACCACTGACCTCTATATATAAGTAGCCGGAAAATATCCACCATTCGCGGCCTGACGATTGCGTCTAGCATGAAACAGCCTGTCGCGTCTGAGTGTTGACTTCAATGTTCACTTCATATATATATATATATATATATATATATATATATATAAAACGTGCCGCCAGTAATTAATCAAGGTAGGTAGCTTAATCCCTTTATGTAGTAAATATACAAAAAATAAAATATTTTGCATTTTATGCATAATAATCAGCGTAACCTTCATAATTTTATTGGATTAGGTACATATGGTGCCACAGAAAGAAAATGTAGCTGTTGATCTGTTTTATACAGGATAGGCACTGCCTACCTTGCCTATCTACAGGCACGTCCTTGATATATATATATATATGTGTGTGTGTACATGCCTAAGTGTATGTACCTACTTGTATATGTTTTTTTGTGTGTATTAGTATGTGTTTTTGAACATAGAAATATTTGGTCCTTGCGAAATGAGACAATCGTTATATTCATCTTCATATATTTATATTTGATTTAATTTTCCCAATTACGAAGCGGCCCTTTATGTAAACACATTTTTATTTTCCTTCGTCCCATCCCTCTCCCCCACCCTTTCCCTTTTTTTTTTTTTTTTTTTTTTTTTTTTTTTTTTCCCTTCCTATCCGAATTGTCTGTGGTGTGTATATGTCACCACGAAATGTATCTTTATGTATTAGACATCCGTCGACTTTCTTTCTCTCCTTTTTTAAATCCACCCCACCCACATCTCCAAAAAAATCTCTGTCACTCATCCTCATACTTACACTTTCTCTAAATTCTGTTTTTTTGATTTCCGGAGTTGTTTTTTTCTGTTTTCATTTTGAATTTGTAGGTCTGATGATTTGGATCGTATTTACGATTCCAATGGAATAAATTATGACCATGGAATATTAGTGTTTAAGCCTTTTATTATATATATATATATATATATATATATATATATATATATATACAGACATATAGATAGATAGATAGATAGATAGATAGATAGATAGATAGATAGATAGATATAAGATATAAGAGAGAGAGATAGATAGATAGATAGATAGATAGATAGATAGATAGATAGATAGATAGATAGATAGATATAAGCAGAGTGAGATAGATAGATAGATAGATAGATAGATAGATAGATAGATAGATATATAGATAGATAGATAGATAGACAAAGGCATAATCTATTCATCATCGAAGTATTTCGTCCTCTGATGTTTATAAACCGATAAAAAATATCGCTAGGCTTTAAACAAATTTGAATATATGAACGCTCGTAAATATTCTTCAGGTGAATTGTGAAAGCCAACGTAAACTATGGAGGAGACTAAGTGATGTCATTTAATGATAAATAAACGAAAATCATTAAATGTTGTTATTGTTGTTTAATTTTTTTCTATTATATATATATATATATATATATATATATATATATATATATATATATATATATATATACATTTTTATTAATGTAATTATTATTTATAACATCCTCTGTAGTTGACTTTCATAGTTCGCCTGAAGAAAATTTATGAATGTTCTTAAATTTAATAATTTTGACAAACTAACAATTTTACTTTTGTTTATAAATACTTGTTGCAAAATAAAATCCTTACATTTGCCTTGATAAAGTCTATCACAGGATGAAACGAGTCAGCAAGAAATAGTTTTTCCTTTTCTCTTTATTCATATCGTCTTTTTACAGATATATATCGGAATTTTTCACCGCGCATACATACATACACACACACACACACACACACACACACACACATACATATGTAATTTAAATCTTCAATTTAATTAAATTAAAAACATTAGTTCCATTTCATCCTCAAGCGAATCTTGGGGTAACTTATCTTTAAATTTACTGAGTTTTAAAGGTACAGAAAAAATCATAATTCACTGTTTCCAAGGATACAGAGCGATCCACTCATTCAGACAAGGGGTGGTAGCGTGAGGATGAAATGGAACTAATGTCTTTAATTTAATTACAAAATTAAATTTGAAGCTGTTACCTTCCATTTTTGAAACATGGTTATTACTCTGTAGCGAAAAAAAAACATAATTTAAATCAGTTAAATTATAATATTAATGTTCTGTAAATTTACATTGACTACTATTTTGTAAAAATAAAAATATCAATAAGAACACAGGATTATATATTTTACTGTTTTTTCTTTATATATATATATATATATATATATATATATATATATATATATATATTATACGAAAAGAAGTATCCGTTTCTCTCTTTTCATTCATTCTAGAGTGTCTTTTTAAATCTCTACTGCGTCTATAACACTTTAGACATCGATTTTGTAACCACCTCTCCCTCGCTCGCTCACTCTATGTTCATATAGACCGAATTACTCCACTGTGTACTTTGTGCATATTTGTACGAGGAGATGCTGAAAAGTTCTCGCCCAGCCTATTTCTAAATAAATATCAGAGACCCAATGATCAAACATTAGACTTTTTTTAAGAGCTGAGATCTTTATGCATGCAATAGAAACAAACTAAAATAAATAAAAAAAGAAACATTAATAGTTATCATATTATTCAACAATCTACTAGATATAATTTTGAATGATTCAATGTAGTTTTCAGGGCAATCTTCTTCTTTTAGCAGTGTCAAACACCTTTCCAAGTTTTTCTCGACTGACTGAAGTGGGTTATATGACTGGCTTGTTAACCTCTACTCCTCATTATATATTTTCTTAGCTACATTTAGTATGGCACATGGCTGCAAAAGTGAGGTACCAGTTGAGTATCTTACTCACAAAAAGGCTTATTAGTCTGCGAGATTACAATATGGATACCATTTTTATAAGTACGGAAAATTAGCTATATTGCACCTTGTCACTTTATTTTTAGAGAGTGACGAACGGGTCACACTAAAAATGTTTACGTTTTACTCTGAACCCTAACACTTTCACCCGTTAATATGCGTTCTTGTCACACAATTCTCGCACCTGTCCACCTAATTGGGATGATCCAGTCACCTCCAAATGATACACACAGCAACTACACCTCCACCCACATCCGAAGCCCGCCATGGTTTTCTCGAGTTGTCTATTGCTACCTTCGCAGTATTTGTTGGGTACACATGTCCTTGAATAGTAGAAATTAAAGACAGCTTTTTTTTTAGTTTTCTCTTTTCTTTCTTTCTTTCTTTCTTTCTTTCTTTCTTTCTTTCTTTCTTTCTTTCTTTCTTTCTGATTGTCTGTCTGTCTTCCTTTCTTTCTTTCTTCTATGCCTCTTTGTTATTTTCTTTCTTTCTTTCTTTCTTTCTTTCTTTCTTTCTTTCTCCCACGCCATTTTATTTAATTCTCTCACGCTTTTTTCTTTCTATCAATATTTTTCTTTATTTGATTCTTTCCATCTTTGCTTCTTTCTTATTTTTTTTAATTTCAGTTCCGTACAAAAACTTTCTAATATATGTCGTCTTTTCCATTTGTTATCTTTGCTGTTGTAATCCACGAAAAGTCAATATTTACCTTGACCGTACAGCTGTCTCCCCAACACCCACCGGATATGTTCCAAGACACCCCACACACACACCTGCGGATGTGTTGCCCAAATTCCACAAACTTCCGGGTAGTATCTCGAAGTAAGCGCTACTTCACACACACGCACGCACACACAGACACAGACACAGACACACACACACACACACACACACACACACACACACACACACACACACACACACACACAGACACACACACACACACACACACACATACACTGGTGAGTAAAGTTAATTTGTGCTTTTATAATAACAGCAAAAACATTCTAGTCATTATTTTTTGTATATATAACTTTTTCTTGAAATAAAGGTAATTGCTAAGTTTTAGTTATGGGTTTCAGATGTGAGACAACCTCGGGGCGAAGAATTGCCTTTAGTTTGGGATTAACTCGATCTAGACCTGTAGTTCCCTAACTCTTTTGGTTTGTCGCCCCCTTGTGTACCAAAACACAATCCTACCGTCCCCCCAAATGTATAGTCAACCTTTGATTGGATTTTCTTGGTCTGAGTATTGTATGTCAAATGAGTATCCTATATTTCTCATAATAATTGTTATATAAATGGGGGACACTGTAAAATGCGAAGGCAAGATGCACTTCAGGTACAATGGGTGGGTGTGGTTATGGTTCAGATGTCCCATCGCCTTCCTCTGATTTTCTCAACGGATCTTTCCACCATCAACTGGAGGGCAGTGCTTCTTAGATTAAGATTCATTGATCCGAAGATATGCTACAGTCAAAAATGACATTAAGCAAAGTCTTTTACACATGCAAAAAGATACAAAAAAAATCGGAAGGAAACGTCTTCAGAAAATTGGAATCCTTTTCCAAGAACAAATTTTCATCTTTGTCTGTCAAAGTCCTTTTGATAGTTCTTTTGTATCTTTCGGTCTTTTGTCCTAGATTAGTATCAGTAAAATTTTGACCAAGAATCCGATTCGGATTTACACTTTTGATCGGATTTTAGTTATAGATTATCCTTAATGCCACATCCTTCCTCGCTTTTAACATTCACTGTGGTTTTGTTTTGTGGCATTATGCCGGAATAGACATGGCCCTCTAGTTTCAGGTACTGGGTTGATCGAAGGTTACCCCCGGTCGCCGAATACAGAAGTATATAAGTACACACCTGCATTCAATATCGCAAGCATGAAAACGAGAATTCTGGGCAAATAGATAGTTACATAATCAACGTCTCCAATTTCACAAACGCACACTGCAGACGGAGAATGTAAGAACGACATTTGGTTGAGGTCACTACAGGCGCCACATTCCATACACGGGCCGAGATTAACTGACGAAATATTGGAGAGAATAAAATGTTAAGTAATGAAGATTCAAGTATCACATCTGCTTCATTATACTTGCCTGGCTGTGCTGGCCCATTTTGGATAAATATGAAATTGTCATTTACTGGAAATAAATGGCAATAAAAATGCTGGATACTTCATATATTTATAGAAATGCCACACCAGGAAAATCCATTTTCTATCAATCTTCTTCCTTTAAGGAAGACATTTTATACATCAAGAAAACAAGATTTTGAACGGAACTTTATATATTGGGTGAGTCAGGTATGTGAGAACACATTTTTACCTGGCCATAAATAGAAGATAACCTAATGTAATGTCACGCCACTCTATTCCCTTTCAAATGCGTCGGGGGCGCTGATTTCAATGTGATATACAAAAAGGCACACATTGTTTGTGCTGCTAGGTGCTAATCCCTGTCACATGGAAAGCGAAATTCTTGAAGGAGTTCAGGTGAACAAAAGGAACGACAGGTGACTCTGCGCAAATCACACGGAGATACGATGATGAACTCCAATTTAACGTCGTCCGTGATAGTCCTGGGAGTAGTGAGCATTGGGGAACCATATCTTACTGTCCCATGTCATGCATGTCTCCACAGGGTGTTAGAATCAATGGCACATTGAAAGGCTGGACATCGTAATTATAGCCGCGGAGGAAGAAGTGGCTGTACGTTTTTCAACAAGATTCTTCTCCTTCACACGTAACACAGTGGCTAGTTAAGAATTTTCATAAATATTCAACCCACTCAATCTATATGGCCCCCCTAGCTGTTCTGATTTGCATCCCATAAATTCTGAGGCATCGTTGGAGTGGGGAGAGACATCAGCGGCTTCACAATACTAAAGATTCATTAAAGTCATCCTTCATAGATATAATAGCCACCATGGACGATAACTACTTGCATGAGGCATACAGCTAATTCCGAGACCGCATCGACGCCGTTTCCAGGCTGGGGATGGCTTTTCAGGACATTTAACAACTAAAATGGATATCCCGTGTAAGAAGAAGAGAAAATAATGATATAATGAAGAGGTTTATGTTCCACACAACTTCAAACTTTAGTGATGAAACTCCCATCAATACTGGAAAGAGCAATAACAGTTAATGGACTTGAGAAATCTTTTTTCCTGTAAAACTGTTTTAAGAGGAAGATTTTATAAATTTAAACCAACTAGCTGCTCGGTCAATGAATATCAAATGTTTCCTTATAAGGAAACGGCTAATATTACCATTACAATTAGAGATGAGGAGAACAGATACTACACTTTGATCCCAGCCCGATAGTCATGGAGTGAAGAAAAGCGTAACTCAAGTAGCATTGGCTGCTCGGTCAATGAATGCCGAATGTTTCCTTATAATGAAACGGCTAATATTAATATTACAGTTAGAGATGGGGGAGTACAGATACTACACTTTGATCCCAGCCCGATGGTCAGGGAGTGAAGAAAAGCGTAACTCAAGTAGCATTGGCTACTCGGTCAATGAATGCCGAATGTTTCCTTATAAGGAAACGGCTAATATTAACATTACCATTTCTCTTCTTTTGAGAAACGTATAAAATTTATTTTTGCAAACACTATTGATATTTCTGTTGAATAATATTGTCTTTATTCATATTCTAATTTGTTTTTTAGTTACTTGACGCATAAAAATTAACCTTACAATGATATACTGGGACCAAAGTGCCCGCGTCAAGATAGAAAATGAATTGAATGAATATATAAAAATAGAAAGCGGCCTAAGACAAAGGTGTATCTTCTCACCGGATTTATTCAACCTTCATAGTGATGCGATCCTGAAAAAACTACAAGTCCAGCTAGTCTCAACAACATAAGGTATGCAGATGATTGTGTTGATATCAAATACAGAAAGGAAAAAGTGTGCGATTCTTCCGAGAGAAAGTAATGAAAGAATGCGAGAAGAAAGGACTAAGCATCAAATGTAAGAAGATAGAATGTATGGTTGTCAGCAAGAGGAAGAGGCCAAGTAAAGGAAAGTGAGAAGAAAGGACTAAGCATCAAATGTAAGAAAATGGATGAAAATCCCATGATGCAAAACTACGAATTGAAGACACCAAAATCAAACAAATACGAACATTTAAATAACAGTGGACGGAAAAGTTGACACCGAAATCCGAAGTCCCATTGAAATAGCTAAAGAAACCTTCCGAAAGCTAAACAAAGTATTAAGAAACAGGAAAATTTCATTAGAAACAAAGAAAAGAGTTTTGAACTAATATATAATATCGATCCTCCTATAAGGCAGTGAATTTTGGACAAAGTCATTATAGATAACGAAGAGATTTGGTTCGACAGAAGAATATTAAGAATGCCATGGACTGAACATGTCAGCAATGAGGAAGTTTTAATGAAAATGGAAACAAGAAGGACGCTTCTACTTAGAATCAGAAAGCGTCAGTTAAAATGACTGACGAAAGAAGGCATATTGAATGAAAGCGGAGGGAAAAAGCGAGTAACCATTCTTACAGGTTTGTTGAGTAAATGGATGTCAGAACAGAGACTGTGAGGGATAGTAAGGAGAGAAATATTTCTTACAGCTACGTATGATAGGAAGTTGTGGAGAGCCATGTTCATCTTACCTAATGAGCTTGTGTAAAAGGATGGCAGAATAGAGACTGGGAGGGATATTGAAAAGGCGAATAATACAAATAATGCAACAAGTCTTCCTAAAAGATACAAAGGATAGAAGGTTGTGGAGAGACATGATCACCTACGCTTGAAGGGTTACAGAATATAGAATAAGTTTAGCGTAACAGAAAAACATCTTACAGACATTTTTCTGCAGAAACAGATTATGCTTCGCCAGTTTTGAAGTGAAGTGAAGAAAATTGCTAAAACCTGAAAAGGAAAAGCATCATTATTCGAGTTTTTCTTTTCTAAGCTCAAACTACGACTTTTGGTGTCAGTAAGTATTAACATAAATGTTTTATTCACCAAGCTGTGTGTGTGTGCGTGCGTGCGCGCCTGAGCGCAAATGCATTCCTTGATGATCAATTAGTGCAGCCGCGAGGTGAAAGTGTTGTCAAAGTAAATAAACCAGTTAGAAATGCTTTGTCATTCATTATTAAAAGTGGTTCGTTTTGAAGCGGATATTCAGGTCAAACCTCATTTATTCTTTCTGTTTCTTTTTTTGTTTTTACATTTTTGTTGTGGTAAAAGAACGATCGATTCAATAGCCTGAAGAACCACAATGGTATCCATTTTCTTTGTGTGCCTCGTCCACAAATAAGTAACGACGAAGAAAACAATAGGATAGTGCTGATCCGAACCCATGACGATTGGATTTAGTATCTGTTCGTCTATTAATCGAGCGATAAGTCTGAAAGTTTCACACGACATAGATTATTTACATCAGTTTTTTGTTGCTTCTTGTCTTAAAACATTTCGACTCTTGTATGCTAATGATTTTAACCTTCTCTCTCTCTCTCTCTCCCTCTCTCTCTCTCTCTCTCTCTGCCGATGAAGACAACAAAAACAAAGAAATTGATTGAAAAGATTCAGTTGAAATTCAGTTTTCAATTTAATTTTTTATACTCTTCATGAAAATGCTCTTTTAAAAATAATTACAGCCCAAGCGATAATGCCATTGGAACGCAGGGGTACAGAGTATGAATTAGAATGAGACGACTTAGAAAAGGACAATAAAGGAACAGGATTCAGTAAAAACAGGTGATGGTGATTCATGTTGCATTTAAATGTTTGAAATTGCAGTTGGCAGGGAAGCAAGAAATCGGAAGGGAGTTCCACAGGTGGGAAGTGCAAGAATTCGGATAGAACTGACAGTTGCATCTAGCTAGTTTAATAGTAAAACGGTGAGGCCTAATTGCCAATCTAGTAGCATGCAGTCGAGGCACTAAAGAGAAAAGTTCATCGGAACAATTTAGATTAAAATATTTGTAGAAAAGACAGAGGAAAGCCACGACACGTCGGTGAGAAAATGACTGAAGTCAAGATGCCGGGTCAGGATCGATTATATTACAGACCCTTTGAAATTTGTTAAGAATCTCGAAATATATGGTAGGAATAGCAGCCCAGATATAAAAAAAACTCCATTAAATGCAGGAATGGTAGATTTATAAATGTGTAAGATGGATTCTGACGAGAAAAATTGTCTGTCATGATACAGTGCACCAACTTTCCTAGCAGTAGATGCAGCAATTGATTCAGTATAATTACTCCAGTTAGTGTCACTGGAAAACGTGAGCCCAAGAAGTCACAAAGGATTGCACTTCTGCAGTCGAGATGCCAAGTCAGGATCGATGACATTACAGATTACACATTTATCAAGAATCTCGAGATATATAGTAGGATCACCAGAACATAGATGACAGCAGCAGTATTCTAAGCACAGACAAATGGTAGATTTATAAATGTACAAGATGGATTCTGACGAGAAATATTGTCTAGCACGGCACAGTGAACAAACTTTCCTAGCATTAAAATTAGCAGTTGATTCAAGGTAATCACTCCATTTCATATGTTGTACGTTTAAGATATGGAAACATAAAAAAAAGAAAACTTAATAACTTAGGGTTAAGCTTTTCGTAACACCATAAATCGAGAAAAAAAATGAAACTTTTTAATCTTTTAAAATTTCGTATTTTCAAATTATGGACTAACGAAAAAGACGTGTTATTTTTATAAAACGAACACAAAGGGTCCATTAAACTTACATTATTAATGCAAGAGAAGCAAAACCTGTAAAAGTTTCATTTCCTCAATATAACTGTCTGCTTCATTCAAAGCAAATAAAGATGTGTATTAAGAGATATATTCTCTCCTGCAGAAATGAATTGCAATTCATCTCAGAAATTTAGAAAGCGCCACAGAAAGATTTGTAAAGACAATGGAAATGATTAGAAATAATCGATGTAAATGATTACAACTATCTTGTTTTGCTAATGAAGAAAAGAAATGTAGTATCGTATGCAATTGAGATAGACGAGTATAAATAGAGAAAAACTGGTGAACATAAGAGCATCGCATAGCAAACGCGTTTGTTAAACTTAACGCAGAGAACTGTGCTACGATTGCTACTACACAAGGAGATATACCAAACAGTCGCCGATAGGATCTTTAAGTTCGCTGGACGACCCAGAACACATAGAAACATGGATAAGAACTTTTGCTGCATTTGCAAGAGAGAAAAAAAGTAAGAGACACAAAGACCGACGGAAATGAGAACGCGATAACGGATTTATTTCGACAATGTGTTACCCGAGCGAATTAGAAGAAATGACATTTGAAGAAATAGTTAAAATTATAAAAAAGAACATAAGACCAAAGAAAATATTGGTCATTGCTGAAAGAGTCAAGTTTTTAGAGACAAGGCAAGCACCCAATGAGTGCATTATACAATACTTACATAGATTGAAAGAACGAGCCAAGTATTGTGAATTTTGAAAAGTTGGAAGCTCGTGAAATGACTATAGATGACCAATTAATCCTTCTAAGAATAATTGAAGGCTTGCAAGACCAAAACTACAAACGAAAAATACTGGAATGTCTACAGAGTACTAGCATGAGTTATGAAAGCTAGCTTCGAGTTTTTACAACAATTAGAGTTGATTAAAGAATTTAATCAAACAAAATAAGAATTCGAGACGTACAGGACGAGCACGACCAAATCCACAAATAAATGGAGATATTGAAGAAAAAATCAAGAGAGAAACAAGTACAAATGTCCAGCTCTAGGAAAAAAATCTCAAATTGCAAACAAAGGGATCATTTTCAGAACGTATGCAAATACGAAAAGAAGATAGATAGAGTATAAAAAAGGTACAAACACTCTCTAAAGAAAAAGCGGAAATATTTACATTAAATACACAAAAAAGAAGTAGAAAAAAATAAGGATAAATGGCCAAATATTTAACATGCAAGTTCATACAGGCAGTGATGTCACGTTGATACTAAAAACTTTCTGGGTAACAGTAGGACGACCTAAATTAAAAAAAGCAGCATCCAATTAAAGCAATTTGATGGAACGACTATAAAAATAATGGGTACATTTCAAGGCTATTTTGAAAACGACAAGCGTTTTGAAGGAAGTGAACTAAAGAGGATAAAATATAAAACAGATCAAATTTTAGTGAGATTATAAAAGGCAGGTATGACTGTAAACAAAGACAAATGTAAATTTGACTGTAAGAAGATATCATATTTAGGATATCAAATATCAAGAGAAGGCATATCACCCGATGATAATAACTAACCATAAAAAATGACATAATAGGCAATGGGGATATAATTGTAGCTCCAAAGTACTGAGAAGGGACATATTAAAAGAAGTACATGATGACATGAATTATGGCATAACAGCAACACAAAAAAAGACTAAAGTTACAAGCTTGGTGACCAGAGTATTCAAAAGATGTAGAAGAGTATATTAAGAGATGCCCAAAATGTGCGGAAATAAAAACTTCAAGCAAGTAAAAATTCACTCATGGCCCAAGGAAGCAGAACCATGGGTTAGGGTCCACATGGATCATGCGCATATAAAAAATAGGGAATTGTTCTTAGTAGTAGTGGACTCATATTCACAATGGCCAGAGATTGTCAGAGTAAAAGACAGAAAAGCCATCACAATAAAGCAAGTACTAAGAACTATATTCTCAAGGAATGTCGTACCCCAGTCAGTAGTCACTGACAATGCACCTGAATTTTGCGATGAAAACTTATTTGCGTGGTAAAAACAGATTGGATGTATCCCATACAAGACACCACAATATCACCCATAATCTAATGGCATTGCGTAAAGAAAGCTACAAACGGTAAAAATGGGATTAAAAGCATTCTCACCACTTAATGAAAGCCTAGAATCGTATTCACCAAAATGCACTTCAGTTACACATCCATTCTACATGTGGGAAGAAAACTGAGCCCTTCGACATTAATGGGAAGACAAATCAAAGTCCCTATAATTATGTCCTTTTCACCGAAAGAAAAGGTATGCTATAGAAAGAACAATGAGGCTGATCAAGAAGAAGCAAATTTCCTGATACAAAAAGGACACAACACGGCTATACTTGAGAAAAACGGACAACGTATACTGGCACATGCAGATCAGATCAGAAGTAGAAACGAATTGGAGGACGTGGAAATAGAAGATCAAGAACAAGAAGAGACAGAAAGTCACAAAAAATTGGAACCGAGCAGGAAATAGATGAAAGTGAGAATAAAAAGACGGATGAGAGTGAAAAAGAAAAGAGACCGAGATCACCATTAAAGAGAAAACAAGAAAGACAAAAGGAAGGACAGCACAGTACGAAAATAATCAGGAATAGTAAAAGATAAAACAAGGGTATACGACCTCTCCGATTCAGGGAGGTGCAGTATTGTAGGCAAACAAGATAGACGAGTATAAATAAAGCACAACTGGTGAACATAAGGGCATTGCTTAGCAAACCCGTTTACTAAACGTAACGCGGAGAACTGTGCTACGACTGCTACTACACAGAAAGATATACCAAATATAAGAAGAAAGAAAGCCGGTGGGCAGAACTACCGGAAGTTCTGTATGATGACAACAAGGGCGAGAAATCAACTTCAAAACAATGTAACTCTCCATCGATCCATTTTCTGGGAAACGATAAAGTGTTTACTTTTTAAGGCAGTAGGCGTAAAACAAGTTTAACCAGATTGGACTAAATAGTCAATTGAATAGTAATTGTTATATATATTATTTTTTCTATATTGTTAAGCATTTTTAAAAATATCTTGTGGTTCTAGCTAGCAGTCAAGGGACAACAAGATTCTCAATATTTCTGACCGCTCTTTCTAACCTTCTTAGCGACATCAAGTTACCAAATTTCTATAGGATCATTATTGAAAAAGTTACTACAGTTGTGAGGCAACCTATAATGATAATAACTTCATGGAAAACCGAAATAGTATAGGAAATGAATCTGTTGAATATTGCACTACAGCAAGCCTCCATCTTCATCTTTGATAATGATCATCATTTAGTGTAAAATTTGACCTTTTTCATTTTTAAATTTGTTCGAAATGCTCTAGTTCATGCAGTCAGTTTATTTTCATTCAGTTCATGATCTATCTATCTATCTATCTATCTATCTATCTATCTATCTATCTATCTATCCGAGTCTTTTCATATCTATCTATCTATCTATCTATCTATCTATCTATCTATCTATCCGAGTCTTTTCATATCTATCTATCTATCTATCTATCTATCTATTAAAAGATTCTTGTTCAAGCCAAAATATCGTTGAATCTGCTCTGATTCGAATCAATTTTTATTTCTATGATTTGTTTCTCCTTTATTTTTTCTGATAAAAGCAAGTCTGATTTTAAAGACCTTTAAGTCCTGATAAAAAAATGACGAGTCTTCTTCGTATTCATTTTGTCGCACATATTATAAATGATGATCTTAATATATCGTTCTATATTTTCAACTAGAAAGACTTGTAAATAGTATGAGGGTCGTTCAAAAAGTTCTGATCTTCACCCAGAAGGAGTTGAAGAAACAAGACAGTTTTTCACTATTTTTCAATGTAGTGCCTCTTGATATCAACGCACTTAGTTCAATGTTACTTAAGTATTGCAATCACAGAAGAAGGTGGCATACTGTTTCCCCAAGAACTCCTCCACAGCACATATGATCTTATCATTGTTTCCAAAATGGTGACCATGTAGGTAGGATTTGATTTTAGGAAACTTGAAGAAGTCAGATGGAGCCAGGTCTAGTGAGTAAGAGGGATAGGGTAGCAAATCAAATCCACAGCAACCTGAGCAGTGTGAATGGGCACGTTATCCTGGAACAATAGCACACCTGCCCTCAGCTTCCCCAGCATTTAAACTTGTTTCTTTCAGTTGTCTTAATTCTGATAGTAATGTCCATTAATAGTTTTTCCCTTTTCCATATAGTGTGATTATTCCTTCAGAATCCCCCCAAATTAGTTTTTACCTAGCCCTCAGATGCTGCCTTCTTGAACTTCTTTGGAATTAGAAAACCAGTGCTTCCACTGTTCGCTTTGAATCTTTGATTCAGGTTTGAAGTGGTGAACCCTAGTTTCATCATGAGTTACTAATCTGTGGTGGAAATTCTCGGGGTCAGCCTGTGGTTAATCACAGTTAAAACCATTTGGACCAAACCAGAACTAATGCCTATGGACTTAGCTATTTGCTGGACAGTAAAACGTCTGTCATCCAAAACCATACGGTGAATGGAATCAACTTGTTCATCAGTGGTTGTGGTGACCTGACTGGGGGTCATCTTCTGTGATATCCTTGCTCTGCTTGAATTCCAGTTGCATAGGAAGGGGAGTCCTCAGAAAGTCTCCCGGTGGATTTCCTTAGGTGTCATACTTTTCTTTTGCAGGTACTTTGACTTCTCAGGTCTCTGTTTTGTCCATTTTTAGATTTGTCGCGTACATCTCACATTTTTATGGGCTTCACTTGCACAAAAATTAAAACGGAAATCTGAATTATTTTTCTAGTTTCATAAGTGGTAATGTGTTGCCAGAACAAAAATGTTCAACTATGTCTCTTCTTTCTGGGTGAGGCTTAGAACTTTTTGAATGATCCTTGTAATTGTGATGCTAAATGATAACAAAGGTATATGGAAGTTCTAATAATAGTAAGTATCTCGGATAACATCCATAATTTTGTATTTGTCTCTATTTCTGAGATGAGGTATTATGTACCCTATTTACATTGTTCGGACTATTTTCCTCATCTTTGGCGCCATATTTATTACAACGTTTCGGCCCTTCAGTATCTGTCTCTATTTCTGAGATGAGGTATTATGTACACTATTTACATTGTTCGGACTATTTTCCTCATCTTTGGCGCCATATTTATTACAACGTTTCGGCCCTTCAGTATCTGTCTTTATTTCTGAGATGAGGTATTATGTACCCTATTTACATTGTTCGGACTATTTTCCTCATCTTTGTCGACATATTTATTACAACGTTTCGGCCCTTCAGTATCTGTCTCTATTTCTGAGATGAGGTATTATGTACACTATTTACATTATTCGGACTATTTTCCTCATATTTGTCAACATATTTATTACAACGTTTCGGCCGTCTACCCCAGTGAGCGAAATAAAGGGTTCAGTTCGACATTCCAACCACCTGATGAAGGCCGGAGCATACAACGGCCGAAACGTTGTAATAAATATGGCGACAAAGATGAGGACAATAGTCCGAACAATGTAAATAAAGTAAGACGCCTGTCATCCAAAACCATAAGGCATCAACTTATTCATCAGTGATTGAGGTTTTAGGATGGCCTGACAGAGGGTCGTTTTCTTTGTTGTCTCTGCTCCGTCTGGATTCCGCAGTCCACTTCTTCACCGTTGCATAGGATTTGAAGTCCTCATCAAGTGTCTGTATCATGTCCTCATGGATTTCCTTCGGTGTCATACTTTTCTTTCGCAGATACTTTATCACTGGTCGGGCCCCTGTTTTGTCCATTTTTAGATTTGTCACACACCTTTCGCCTTTGTATGGGCCTCACCTGCACAGAAATTAAGACAGAAATCTGAATCAGTATTTCTAGTTTTATAAGAAGTGAACGTGTGTTGCCACAGAAAAATGTTCAACCATGGCTCTTCTATCTCGATGACGAGGCAGATTTTTTCCCGCAGTAGGTTGCCATTTCTTTTCTACCATGGTAGACCAATTGCCAGTTGCCATCTAAGGCTATAGAACCCTGTCTGCCCTGCTATTTACCCATAGCTTGGAGGAGAAGAAGAAGATTCATACCTTTCCCAATGTATTATCACGTAAGTGAATGGATTCGACTGGAATTCGAACTTGGCTCTCCTGTGTCATTTTATCACAGTCGCCATTGCTTCTCGGCCTTTTGGTCTGAGATCAAAATGTAGTATCTGTTTTCATCAGCTTAACCTCTCTCTCTCCCCTCTCTCTCTCTCTCTCTCTCTCTCTCTCTCTCTCTCTCTCTCTCTCTATATATATATATATATATATATATATATATATATATATATATATATATATATATTATAATAAAAAAAAAGAACAGTAAGATATATAGTCCGGTGTTCGTATTGATATTTTTTTATTTTTCCAAAACAGTGCTCAATGTAAATTTACAGAGGATAAATATTATAAATTAACTGATTTAAAATATGGTTTCTTCGCTACATAGTAATAACCATATTTCAAAAACCGAAGCTAAAAATTTCCTAATTAAATTAAATAATTTCTTTTTTTTCTCCTTTCATTTTCACACCGAAATCAAGTAATAATCAAAGCGATCAAAAGGCGGAATAGTCCATTATTTTTTGGTAGGGCGAAACAGCGTGCGAACTACCGAAGAGTAGGACAGGTCCAATTATAATAGCAGAGGGATATGTATTTAGTGGCTCTTAGCAAATTAGTTTTGTATTCTTTCTTTTTTATTTTATTGGAAGTTTTACATTTATGGCCTTGTGCCTTCCTTAGGTGAGTAAATAAAAATATCATTCGTTCGACTTTTTTGGGGTCTAATCAGCTGAAAGTATAAAATGAATGTCAGTCGATTGTGTGTAAAGTGCATATTTCGCAGCGTCGTCGCAAACAGGAAGAAGAATAAACTTTAACAAATAAGTCATTCAACTTTTGTAAAAGAAAGGCCAACCACCTGGTAAGCAGGGAGTTGACCAGGAATATCTCCTATTAAGATCGTTTTTGTTTTTTTTTTTTTATTCTTTCCGGCTGTTTTCTTTTTTTTAAATAAAAAAAAAAAGACATTGCGTATGAACAAAAAAGAACAAAGAAAAAGACAGGGAAAACTTGAGAATGAGAGAGAGAGAGAGAGAGAGAGAGAGAGAGAAAGAGAAAGAGAGAGAGTAAGACAAAAAGAGAGATAATGAGAATGAGTCGAATTAACATTTTTGAAACAGGCGGCAATGAATTATTAAATCTATCTATCTCAGTTTGTTCATATCTATGTATCTATCACAGTCAGTCCACTATCTATCTATCTATCTATCTATCTATCTATCTATCTATCTATCTATCTATCTATCTATCTACCTGCCTATCAATCTACCTGCCTGTCTATCTATCTATCTATCTATCTATATATCTATCTATCTATCTATCTAGCTCAGTTTGTTCATATCTATGTATCCATCACAGTCAGTCTGTCTATCTATCTATCTATCTATCTATCTATCTATCTCCGTTTGTGTATATCTATGTATATATCCCAGTCAATCCACTATCTATCTATCTAGCTAGCTCAGTTTGTTCATATCTATGTATCTATCCCAGTCAATCCACTATCTATCTAGCTAGCTAGCCGTCTATCTAGCACATCTATTGCGCATATGTGTGAAAGAATTAAGTTATACGTATATGTACAAAAAAAGAAAAGGAAAATGGAATGTGTAAAACAAGTCTCGCATTCAGTTACAAATGTAGTGAGTTCGATCCTCATGAAGTGGAAACATTGAATCCAATGCTTGGCCTCCTGCTAAGAAAATTGGTTCACTGTGTTGAGTCTAAGAAATTCTTCTCACCAGAATCCATCTTACATATCTATAAGTCTACCATTTGGCCATGCTTTGAATATTGCTGCCAAATATATTTAGAGATTCTTGATAACATCCAAAGAATCAGCAATATTATTAGTCATGTCCTGGCATCTCGGATTCAGTCACTCCCCGCAGCCATAGTTTCCCTGTGCCTTTTCTATAAATACTTTCATGGTAATTGTTCGGATCAACTCTTCGCTGTGGTGCCTAGACGGTACTAGATTGGTGGCAATGCTTCATCAATTCACAGCTGAATTGATTAGATGTTTCTTTTCTCGCACTTCTCGCTTGTGGAACTCTTTTCCGGCTCCATGCTTTTCAGTCAACTTTGATTTTCAAAAATAAATGTCAATCTTTATCAAATGTCTTCTTGATTCCTCTTCTTTAATAAAGTTTCTCTTTTTTTCTGATTCCTTCACACTCAGTAACCTCTTGTGTCTTAGTGGCTTTACTGCCTTGCATGGGGGGGGCGGGATGATAAAAAAAATTGACTTCCAGCTTTTTTCCACTAAGCACCCTTTAAATAGATCGAAAGAAAGAAAGAAAGAATGTCTATTGATGCCTCACCATGGAATGTTGGATATCAATGAAGTTTCACACTCTTATTGCTGAAGTTAGAACCTGACTGTGTTCTCCACACAAGAAGCCTTATGCCATACCAGAATAAGCTTAATAAATACTTACAGATA